AGGCGGGTGGCAGGGCCCCTCTTTGGCACCAGCGCTGGGCCTGAGGTCCTGCCCAGGGCCGGGTCCCCCGGGGTCTTGTCTGAGCGTCTTTTCACGCCACCCCCGGCACCTTGGGAAAATGGCCCCTGACCTGTCAGACTGGCTGACTGACGCCTCCTCTCCCCCTCAGGTGACGGTGCGACGCCCAGGTTCTCTGGGGCACGGAGGCTGCAGTCCTGCACGTCGGCGGGGAGGTAATGACCGATGTGACTATAAACACGAACCGCCTGCTAACGGCTCACAGTGCTCGGCAAACGCAGACCCCACCGCCCGCCACACTGTGTGCCTTCACCCAGGCTCCTGGGGCCCCTCCTACATCCACCAAGAGTCACAGGCACGGACCCCAGTGCTGCGGGGTGGTCTCAGCCGGGCGCACGGCGCAGCTGCCTTCACAGCGTTGGGGTGCCCAGCAGCCCCAGAAATTCCGACGGGCTCTGGGTGCAGCCCCGCCCCACAGGCCTCCCAGGTGACCCGTCTGTCCTGCAGTGGGGACCGCTGGTTGGTCCCCAGACGCGGTTGAGTCCCAGGTTCCCATTCCTGCTTAGAGCTGGTGTCGGACCCACGCCCCTGACCCTCCCTCAGCCGTGTGGTGGGTGGTACTGAGCCCAGCACTGCAGGTCCCATGTAGGAACGTGTGTGCACAGCCCTGGGAGGCCTGGCCCATGCGGGAGGCACGCAGACCGACGTTGCCTTTACTGGCACAGATGCTCCCAGAGGACATCCAGGGTAAGGCCACCAGAGCCAGTGTGAACACAGAGGCATCAGCAAGCCCCCCTCCCGCCCTTTCTGATGACCGGGTCCCCGCTGCACGCTGAGGACGGGTGACGGGGGGACGCAGCCCCAGCCCTGCTCAGTCCTGTGCCATCCGGGGGGTGGGGTGGGGGGCAGTGACCCCAGGCGGGTCCTGGCCTGCGCCCGCCTGTGGCCAAGGTGGGAGCGCTGCTGGACCTCGGGGATGGGTGGGCCAGACAAGCCCTGGGCCCGGACACCGGGGAGGCCTGGTCCTGGCCCTGCCGGCAGCCTGGGCCGCCTGTGTGTCGACATGGCCTGGCTCCCGCTTCTTGCGTGTGGACCTGGAGGCACGTCAAGGGGGGGCTGGTGCTTGCCGTCCCCTCCAGCGCAGCGGGAGCCCACCCCGCAGATGGCCGCCTGCTCGCCCACTGCCCTGCCTCCTTCCCTGCGGCGAGGACAGCGCCCGCCTCCCAGGGTGACTGGATGCAACTTGTTTGTGGCTTTATTTTTTTTTAATTTTTAAAAAATATATATTGATTTTTTACAGAGAGGAAGGGAGAGGGATAGTTACAAACATCAGTGAGAGAGAAACATCGATCAGCTGCCTCCTGCACACCTCCTACTTCGGATCCCGCAACCACAAACATCAGTGAGAGAGAAACATCGATCAGCTGCCTCCTGCACACCTCCTACTTCGGATGTGCCCGCAACCAAGGCACATGCCCTTGACCGGAATCGAACCTGGGACCTTTCAGTCTGCAGGCCGCCGCTCTATCCACTGAGCCAATCTGGTCAGGGCTTGTGGCTTTATTTTTACTTACTTCCCCCGGAGTGTGTGGCAGAGCTGCCAGCGTCCGGGATAAGGGACGTAGGGCGGATTCGAGAGCCTCGCAGGGAGCGGCAGCCGCGCTGTCGGCCCCTCCTGCCCAGCCTGGAGGTCCTCGGCCAGGGAGGGTGCAGGTCCGGGTCAGGGTCTGAGAGCAGAGCCTCCTGGACAGATGGCGGAGCCGGGGGTGTCATCCCCGACCCCATGTGTCGGGGGCCCGGACTTGCTGACTTTAAAGCAACAGCAACTGGACCCCGCCTGGACATAAACCACAGGCCCTGCGGGGAGGGGCGGGGGGAGAAGCGTGGGAACAGGTGCCCCGGCGAAGCGTCTGTGTTCACATCGGCTCTGCTGGCCTTAACCTGCTGTCCTGTGGGGCTGTCTGTGCCAGTAAAGGTGGCGTCGGTCTCTGGACCTCCCGTCAGCTGTCCTCAGGCCCCTGTAACGTGCAGGCACGTCTGACGGGCGCCTGTGAGGA